CATGATTAATCTGAAATCCAATATGGGTTTAAGAGGAATCATGGAGATTAGTGAGTAATCACCTTTTGAATTCATGGGTTAGGGAGATTAAGGGTGATTAGGTTAGATTTAGGATGTTTTAGTGTTAGATTTCTCTTGTTCCTTGCTTATTAGAGTAACCATAATGCCTCTTTTGAATTGATCACTCAAAGGTTGATCTGTAGACATTTCCCACTCACAAAGTGTTCGATGAAATGTCTGAGTCAACTCTCTTAAGCTTTTAACTGTCTTTACCAGGGACACTTGTTGTTAAAGGTGTTAAGATGGCTAATAGATCTATTCTTAATGATTACTTTCATAATATTCAACCAAAGACATTTGATGCTTGAGTTATGGTTGTAAATGAACATTCATCTAGACATAGAGCTTGTTTAGAATCGTATCTAGGCCTAAGGTAGACAGTTTAATTGATCGCCTGCCATCCTTAGATCGAAACTTGATCACCCAAAGTCAAATTCCCTATACCCATGATGAGTTCTCCTTTACCTTCTTTGTCAAAGTTATATCTTTTATTGCATTCTAGTTTTAGTTAACCTTAAAAACCAATCAATCACATGATCGCACTTAGATTAAGCTAGTACTTGTATTCTCGGTGCTTTTAAATCCCTCAGAACTGGTTCGACAATCATCTATACTACAACATTTATCTTAGGAGCCTTGAAAACTCCTAACATCAGTGTTTCTCTTAAAGACTATTTTGTTCCTATTAAACTTTGAGTTGCATGAATATAAAAATGATTATATCAAAATATAAAGAGAAAATGACTAAAATAGACTTAAAAAACTTTTATCACAAATATAGACCTTAACAATTAAAATGACCAAAATAACACTTAAATGTTTTTTAAATATACATTTATACCCCTTGGGTTAACTAATCCTAGATTTTTTTGTTTAGAGTTGAGAAGTGAGATTTTGGAGATAGGGTTTCGAATTTAAAAAAATTAAGAAAACTTAAAATTTTCAAAATAAAAAGTGCTATTTTGGTCATTTTAATTTTTGAGGTTTATTTTGTGATAAAAACTTAAAAGAGGGCTATTAGTGAGAATTTCCCAAATATAAAATAATTTATTTAAACAATATTGTATTTAAAATATTATTTCTATTTGGCACAGAAAACTCCTGGTATAAATAAATATATAATAACTATGTTGTTAAAAATAAAATAAAAATATATAACAACTAGAAATAAAAACCCAATAAAAAAGCATAATCATTCTCAAATTCAATCTATAGAAGAACTCAAAAAAATCCGGCCAGACACGCAAATCAATTCAAGTATTAATTATTATGATTATTATTAAAAAAGGGCCTTGTGATTGCTCTCTATCTCTCTTTTCCGGAAAGGAAAGAAATTCGTTCGCTGATATTTTCTGCTTCTCTTCGCTTCGCATTTTGCTTTTTCTCTACACAAAATATTCCTTTGGTATTTCTGCAAACCCAGTCTCTGTGTGTGTTTTTGCGATCTTGGCTTCAAAACCAAAGCTATTCCTTTGGGGTCTCACGAAGAGGTATGCGCGATTCGAATTTGTCACTTTTACAGTTCGAATTTCTTCACTCTATTTGATAGTATCAATCTGCATCTTGTTTATTTGTCGTGTTGAATACCCGATTTTAAATCAACTCTTTCTCAGTTAACTCGAATCGAACCATGGCTGTGTTCCACAGTAGACTCTTCACTCGTGTGGGGCAGACACCAATTAATATATATACTATTCATCAGTAATTGGTAGGGAACTTTTTAGTATAATCAAATCTGAGATGTTGCTTTGCTGCACCACACAGATGTTCTCCTCTTGATTCAAGTCACTCAGTTAATTTTACAAAGCCACTATGGAAGAGGAGAATAACGTTACTAGCTCCCCTTCACCGCGGCTTAGGCATCGCAAACGCTCATCTACTGAGGTTCTTCCTTTTCTTCACGTTTTATAATAGTTATATGGTAAATTAGCTTCAAGGCTTGATGAGTTTCTTGTCTTAATTAGGCTGTTCTTGATGGGAACCCAAGCCCTCTCCTTGTTAATGATCAAAACAAGTACAAATCTTTCATGGTCCGGACTTACTCTACCTTATGGATGATTGGTGGGTTTGTCATGGTTGTCTACATGGGTCATCTCTACATCACTGCCATGGTGCTTGTCATCCAGATCTTCATGGCTAAAGAGCTCTTTAATCTCCTTAGGAAAGCACCTGAGGATAAGTGTCTTCCTGGAATTAAACACCTGAATTGGTAATTAAAAAAGTCGGCAGCTTTTTTTTTATAAGACTCTTATTGGCTCAGGTGGTGTATAATTTTCTATATTCCTGCAGGCACTTCTTTTTCACTGCCATGCTTTTCGTGTATGGCCGGATCCTTAGTCAACGCTTAGCTAATACTGTAACTGCAGACCAGTTCCTTTACCGGCTAGTCAGCGGCCTTATCAAATACCATATGGCTATCTGTTACTTCTTGTATATTATAGGTTGTTACTACTCTCTTGCTTCACTTTCATTTTTTTTGGTAGAATTTGGGGGTCATGATCCTTTTGTGTACGTTTGTTGCATTAACTGAATAACATTGCAGGTTTCATGTGGTTCATTCTGACATTAAAGAAGAAGATGTACAAGTACCAGTTTGGCCAATATGCATGGACCCACATGATTTTGATTGTCGTCTTTACTCAGTCCTCCTTCACTGTTGCCAACATATTCGAAGGAATCTTCTGGTACAGTTTTTTAATAAGCCACTCAGTTCCTCTATCTCTATGTATCAACCAATATGATGAGACTATCTCGACCACCCTTTTGTTCTTTGTTGAAATGTAATTGTCCTAATAACCTTATTAAGTATGATTTTCTCCTTTGGTGGCTTTAACTGCAGGTTTCTTCTTCCAGCATCTTTAATTATCATCAATGATATCTTTGCTTACATTTTCGGTTTCTTCTTTGGAAGAACGCCCTTAATCAAGCTATCTCCGAAGAAAACATGGGAGGGATTCATTGGAGCTTCAGTGACAACTATCATATCTGCATTTTTTGTGAGCATTTGTTACCTCTCTCACCATATAAAATGCCTACATCATTTCATTGTATCTTCACTGATCCTCTGCCTGAAAATGTTCTGTGTTCGCAATGTTTCAGCTGGCAAATATCATGGGTCGTTTCCCATGGTTGACATGCCCAAGACAGGTTAGTGTTTGAAGAAGAAAATGACTATGATCTTGAACATGATATTTGAGGCAACATTTAGTAAATCTATGAATCGTTCTGCAGGATTTGTCCACTGGCTGGCTACACTGTGATGCTGATCCATTGTTCAAGCCTGAACCTTTTACTTTACCTGCGTGGATTCCAGGATGGGTAAGCTTTAGTTTAGTATTATGTCACATTGCTTAGAAGAAACTCATCTTTGTTCAAAAAGGCAGATTATAACTGATTTCAGAGCGTGTTCTTGTATAGGTTCAGATTCGGGCCACTTTTATTTAAGTTAGCTAGTAGATAACTAACAAATAAACTGAGCAGTAGTGTTTGTTTCGTTATAAGAAATTTTTGCATACGCTTTGTCAACTTCTTACGACACTTTTGCAGTTTCCTTGGAAGGAAATAGAGGTCCTCCCTGTTCAGTGGCATGCTTTATGCCTCGGTTTGTTCGCATCAATCATAGCTCCTTTCGGTGGGTTTTTCGCTAGCGGGTTTAAAAGAGCATTCAAAATCAAGGTCTGTTATCAACATCAAGCTTGAGCTAAGCTTCACTTACGATACACATCTAACTTTTGAACAAAACATTTGCTTAATAAAAACTGTATTGGCAGGACTTTGGTGATAGTATTCCAGGACATGGTGGGATCACGGATAGAATGGACTGCCAGGTAACTCTAATGAAGCCTATATCTCTTCACGAGCTTATGAAAAATTCTTCTTATAGCAGAATTGAGTTTGTTAAGTACAATATAGAAGAGATTAGCAGAAACAGTAACCATTTTCTTTACTATTCCTCTATAAAACTGTTGATAAAGAAACACAAGTGATGAACTAAGGACTAGTGGATATCAAGAACCAAGATAAAGTTAGGGCTTTGTTGTAGAGTCCTCTAAACTCTCACAAATGACCAGAAAGCTTATTCAACTGCCACCCAACCTAGACTTCAACCCATTTTTGAGCACAGATAACCAGGTTTAATCCTTTTTCTATTGTCACAGATGGTAATGGCAGTATTTGCTTACATATATCTTCAGTCATTTATAGTCTCCCAGAGCGTTTCCGTTGACAAAATCCTGGACCAGGTTATTAATCTTCTCTCCATAGACACCTAGACCTTGTAATTCAATCAGAACCAGATGATTATCTTTTGCAACTAATCAAACTAAATCAATCATGTGACGTTGTTTCATTGTAGATATTGACGAACCTTACCTTGGAGGAACAACAAGCTCTCTTCATCAGATTAGGGCAAATGATTGGTCACTCATAATTTCCCTGTTCAAAAAAAAAAAACTCTTCTTCAGGTTCTCAAAGAACAGGTTCTGTAACACTGCAATGTACGAGACAATAATTGGAAATTGGATAAGATTTGTTTTCTGGCACTGTAAATCCTCTTGAAGGTTGTCGAAATTAAAAGTTTTTTTCTAGTCTTCTCATTTGATACAATAGGTTTGAAGTTGTATCTACTTATCTAGTAGCATAAGTGGTTCATTTGTATTTGTATCTGGTTAAAATTTAAACGCACTTATATTTTTTTTTGTTCCACGATTCTGTTTGTTGTGAGGGTCTTGGTTAACGATGACGTATTGATAGCAAGAAGCCAAGGAGGTCCTGGACTCTAATGAGCCTTGAGATTGGTCCACAAAACGTATATCTCGCTTTTAAATGTTTTTTCGGTTTTTGGTTAAAAAAAATTCGGTCTATTTGGCTTGCTGAATCAGTTTAATTAGATTAGTCGATATTGGCAAAAAATGAAATACATGAAAATGTTGTGAATTAACAAGCAAAAAGAGAAAATTTGATTGCTTTGTGTCTGTGTAATACAATGAGAGAACTCAGTCTATAAACTTAACATCTTCTTTTTGTTACATTTAATTACAAAGCAAAGAGCACATATATATATACTCCATCAGAATTAATAAAATATTCTTTTTGTTACATTTAATTACAAAGCAAAGAGCACATATATATATACTCCATCAGAATTAATAAAATATTTGATGAGTCGGTAAAGAGGTCAGTAACTCTTTACTTCACCGACAAGTAATTATATTTCAAGGATAAACATTATCCTTAATTGGATAATCATATTATCTAACACTCCCCCTTGATTATCCAATTTCTATTACGTAGTGCCTCGTTAAAACTTTAGTCATAGAAAACTCCGTTAGACTAAAAACCATGAAAAAGAAAAAAGAGTACACCTCTCCCCCTGAGCATAATGGACATAGCTTTTTCTTCATAAGTCACGCAAATGTTCCATTCCGATACCGTAGATGTGTTTTCGGAACGTCGTAGTAGGAAGGACCTTTGTAAACAAATCTGCGGAATTGTCGCATGACCGTACATATTCAATGTCCACTTCTTTATTTTTCTCGAGCTCCCGTATGTATGAGAAAAATCTTGGAGGCATGTGCTTTGTTCTGTCGCTCTTGATATAGCCTTCTTTAAGTTGAGCAACACACGCCGAATTGTCTTCGAACATTTTCGTCGGCTCTTTCTTATCAACTATTCTACTTGCTTCTTGTATGTGGTAACTCATTGATCTAAGCCACACACATTCTCGACATGCTTCGTGAAGTGCAATGGTTTATGCATAATTCGAAGATGTTTCAACCAGAGTTTGTTTCTGCGAACGCCAAAAGATCGCTGTCCCACCAATTGTAAAAACATAGCCGGTTTGCGAACGAGCCTTATGAGGATCTGATAAGTATCCTGCATCTACAAAACCAACCATACCAAACTCGGGTTTTCTAAAATACATTAAACCTAGGTCAACCGTACCTTGAAGGTAACGAAATATGTGTTTAATTCCGTTCCAATGTCTATGAGTAGGAGCCAAACTATATCTTGCAAGAAGATTAGTGGCAAAGGCAATATTAGGTCCGGTACAGTTCACTAGATAAAACAACCCACCGATAGCACTCATGTAAGGTACTTCTGGACCTAACATCTTTTCGCTATCTTCACAGGTTCTAAAAGGATCTCTCTCAATATCGAGAGTCCTACCAACCATTGGAGTACTCAAAGGAGTTGCTTTGTCCATACGAAAGCGTTTCAATAGCATTTTCGTATAATTTGATTGATGCACAAATATACCTTCTCGGAGATGCTCAATCTGGAGCCCAAGACAAAACTTTGTCTTTCCGAGATCTTTAATTTCGAACTCTTCTTTCATATGAGTTCGTGCATCATCAACCTCATTTTGAGTTCCAATAATGTTCAGGTCATCAACATATACAGCAATGATCACAAAGCCAGATGACGATTTCTTTATAAAAACGCATGGACATATCGCATTATTCACATATCCTTTTCTCAAGATATATTCACTTAAGCGATTGTACCACATGCGTCCGGACTGCTTTAATCCGTAAAGTGATCGCTGTAACTTAACCGAACAAACCTCCCTAGGTTTCTCTTTCAATGTCTCTGGCATTTTCAATCCTTCAGGGAGTTTCATATATATATCATTATCCAATGATCCATACAAGTATGCAGCCACAACGTTCATAAGATGCATTTCAAGATTCTTTGACGCCGTAAGGCTCATCAAAAATCTAAACGTAATTGCATCCATTACTGGGGAATACGTTTCCTCAAAATCAATTCCCGGTCTCTGAGAAAAACCTTAGGCTACTAATCGGGCTTTATATCGTGTTATTTCATTCTTTTCATTTAGTTTTCTCACGAATACCCACTTATACCCAACGGGATTTATATTCTTAGGCGTTATGACTATAGGTCCAAAGACATTTCTTTTATTTAGGGGGAGTAATTCAGTTTCAATGGCCTTCTTCCATTCCTCCCAATCATGTATTTTCATACATTCTAAAATGGACATTGGATCAGGATCATCACTTTCGTGATCTATTTCTTTGGACACAGAAAAGGAGAACATTCCATCAACATCTTTTATCTTATTTCTGATCCATAACTTTTCATCTTGGACGTAGTTGATGGAAATCTCATACTTTTATGTTCCCTCCTCGTCATCTGGATCCTTATCTTTATTTGGTTCTTCTTGAACCTTTTCATCTACGCCTTCTTTCATACAACTTTCAGTATCAGGTTCTTCTAGAACCTTTCCTTTTTGC